CCTTGACCTCCTGTGATGGAGGGATGAGCGGGGCTGTCCCCTCCAAGCCCCAGCTCCCTTCTGGAGGACTGCCTGTGTCTGCAGCGTCACACTGTCATCTCTGTGCTGACTGGGGACCCTTCAGTTGACTCTGAACCCATTGAGGGGCCATGGGTGCTTTTTAGATGCAACAAACTGGGTCCAGAAGCCCGATGTGGACTTTGAGACTCGGTTGCGAGTGACAGAAGCTCAAACTAGCTGAAGCTGAAAGAGGCATTGCTTGTCCCATGTGGTTAAATATCTAGAGGTTGCATAAGCTTCAGGCACAGCTGGCTCCTGTGGCCCCAGGAGGTGTTGCCACACCCCTGTCTTGTGCCAGTTCTCCATGTTGGTGTCATTTTCAGGCGGGCTCTCTCCTTGTAGTGGCTCAGGTGTCTGCTGACAGTGCCAGGTCACCAACAAAAGAGAACGCCTCTTTCCCTGGGTCAGCAGAAGTCCAAAGACAGCCCTCACGGCCCAGGCCTGTGGCATTGAGGCTTGAGAGGGACTTTGCTGATTGGTTATACCAGGGTCATGTGGCCCCTGAACCAGGGTACTGAGGGTCGGGAGAGGGGACATTGCACAGCAGAAGCATGAAATACCCTCCTCCCATCTGGACACCTTCCCCGCAGGGGAGTCCCCTCCTCTTTAAAATGGGACTGCTTACCCTGCTGTACCAGCGGGCTGGTCGTGAGGTGAGAATAAGTAAGGGCCTCTGGGACTGCAGTCTCCTCAGGAAGAGCAGACTTGATACCTCTGCTCTAGGTGACTTTGGAAGTCAGACAGGACCCATGCAGTGTGGGTGAGGGAGTGACGGGGAGGCAGGGCTTGGCTTGAGCTAAGGGAGGCCTCAGGGCCAGAGAAGTGCCCAGTGATGGAGGAGACTGCCCTGAGAGGTGGTGAGCCCCCATCATGGAGGTGTGCACGCTAACAGCAGGGTCATTTGTTAGCAAGAAGGTGTGCACTAACAGCAGGGTCATTCAATCCAGGGGGCCCTGCATTGGATGTGTCTGAGACATGGCAGAAGAGTTCCTTTATCCAGGGCCTTATGGGGAGGCCCTCCCTGTTGCCAACTGAGTTGAGGACTGGTGGAAGAACTGGTGATTGGACAGGAGGCCTTGAAAACTTCCCGGGCAGGGGGTGCCTCTGGGTCTGTCTTTGGCAGGGTGGCTCCTAGGGAGGAGCTGGCCTGGGGACATGCCACTGGTGGTGGGTTCCTGGACCCCTCTGGAGATGTGATCAGTGAGTTCATTCCCCCCAGGCCTCACAGTGCCCGGCTTGTTCCAGGAGCTGGCCAAGGTCCCTGGATGGGCCGAAGTCCTTGTGCCCGTGCTCTCCACTGTTCACCTGCCCCTGCCTGCCGTTGCCCGGAAAGTGGCCTGATGAGTTCCTTGAGAGGCGTGTTTACCAGGCTTTGGTTCCCACGGGCCCTTGGGACCCTCTCAGCTGGTTCCTCCCTCTCCTTGTGGTGGCCCAGCCTGGCTTTGTGTGCCTGGAGTGGGTGTGTCCACACACAGCCTCACTTGCACTTTCACGCACGTGTCTGGCCGCCTCAGCTCTGGTCTGGGGGCTTTGCCTGGGAGATGCAGCAGCTGTGGGGAGTGGCCTCAGCCCTCTGGTGTTTGGAGCTTCTCAGTCTGGCCGTCCTGGTGTACTGGTGTTTGGCAGCAGGCCAGGGGGCAGGCAGGGTTGCTGTTTGTGTGCGGTGGTATCTGGCTCGATCCCCCCAGGATGTCAGTGGGGAAGCCTGGGCTGAGGAGCCCTGGTTTGGGAGCTGGCAGACCCGGGTTTGCATCCCAGCCCCTCTGTCTACCAGCTCCAGCAGTGTGATCTTAGGCAACCACTCTGCCTGTCTGGACTCAGGTCTGCATGTGTGAAACGGTGGTGCCACCTTGGCCTTTGCCGGTTGTGAAGACGAGAGTGAATGTGTGTGCAGGTGCCGGGGGTGGCAGGAACTGCTGCTCTTATTACTGCAAAGGGCTATTTTGGGGTGGGAGGGGGCTGGATTGAATGTGTCTCAGGCAGGAACCGTATCTCGTTTGGCACACCCTGCAGCACAGGGCTGGATGTACATGGTTAGCACACAGTAAATGCCTCTTGTGGAATAGACTGGTTAGTTTAGATTTCGAGGTTGTACACTAGTGGGCTGCAATCACTGCAAAATTTGAAATCAGCTGCCAGCATTTAAAACTCACTTTACATAGAAATCAGATTTGTAGCCTATCTGAGCACTTTGGGCACTTTGACAGCTCTGGGCCACACCCCAGAAGGGTTGCCCCTCGTTGAACAGGTGCTAAGGCCTGAAGACACCTGCCCAGGGACTGAAGGAGACAGGGCTCCTCAGCAAATGACCCCTTCCTCCTCCCCCAAATATGTGGTTTTTCCATTTTGTTCCTGGTGTGTGGTGATGGAATAGGAACTTCCAGAGGAAATAGAGCCCGAGGTGGCTCCTGGAATCAAGGTGGCCCCTGGGATCTCATAGTAGCAGGTGTTGAGGTTGGGGGGCTTCCCTTAGACTTGGGGACCCTGGATATTCTGCTTTTTACCTTTAGGGGCTGGGGGCTCGTCTGGCCACCTTCCCTCCGCTGGACCAGCTGTCCTTTGAAGCTTCCGCTGGTGGCTGGCCATTTGTGCCCCATGACTACCCTGAGCCGTCCCATGTCTCACAGCCTCCCTGCTGTGAGACAGCCTCTGCCTCTGGCCCTGTTCTGGTTCCAATCCAAGGCAGGCCTGGAGGACACTGGGGGGCTGGATTCTTGGTCCAGGGTTGCCCGCTTCATGCAAGGTTCCTGTTGGGAATATGGCAGCTGTCCCCAAGTCCCCATTGCTGTGTGAGGGATTGCGCATTTTTGGTAATATTCCTTCCTTTGGAGACTGATGGGGATCACTGGGGAGAGAGAGTCCAGCCTAGCATACAGGAGGTGTAAGGACTGGCAGGCGTAGGTGTGATTCACAAGCCTTTTTGGAATCAATGAATATGCTAAGGAATGAACGGTGCTAGGGAAAGAAGGAGCCCGTATGGGCTGAGCGTGGCAAGCCTGGGGGTCAGCTCACAGTGTGTCACAAAGGGGCCACTGTGTCCCTCTCTGAGACTCAGCTTCCTTTTCTGTGAAGCAAGGCTTGCAGACATCTGAAATTTATGTCAGTGGGCTATTTAAAAAAATAAACAAGATTTTTGCGGGGTACAGTGGCTCATGCCTGAAATCTTGACACTTCGGAGGCTGAGGAGGGTAGATTGCTTGAGCCTAGGAGTTCAAGACTAGCTTGGGCAACATGGCAAAACCCCATCTCTACGAAAAATACATGGCCCACTGCAGCCTAAGCCTCCCCAGGCTCAGGTCCCAGCTACACAGGAGGCTGAGGTGGGAGGATTGCCTGAGTCCGGGGAGGTTGAGTCTGCAGCAGGCTATGATCACACCACTTCACTCCAGCCTGGGTGACAGAGTGAGACCCCATCTAAAAAAAAAAAACAAACAAAAAACAGAAAGAAAGAAAATGCAAAATGCAGTTTTATGTGAAACTTACTGTAACACAGATGCAGGGGGCTACTCTGGCTGAAGCAGGCATGGGTTGCCTGAATCTATGCCCTCCGACCTTCCCTTCCCATCAGGGGCCTGATGCATGTCCCCAAATCTCAGGGCTCCCAGGATCACAGCTTGGAACGCTCTGTGCCCGGAGACATGAGACTCACTGGAAAATGAATGAATGTGGTGTTTGCACCAGGACGATGGGGACAGAGCAGAGCCTGGAAACAGACCCCATCTGTGTGATCACCTGACTTATGAGAGAGGTGGCTTCACTGAAATTCAGTGAGAGGATTGCTGGTTCACTGAACACTACTGGGATAATTCAATATCCATGTGGAAAAAAGAAATGAACCTTGATCCCTACCTCACACGATACCCAGAGTGAATCAAGATGAATCAGAGACCTTAGTGTGAAAGCAAAAGAGAAACGTGCAGAGCAGAGCTGGCCTATAGAAGTTTCTGTGATGATAGACATGCTCTATTTATCTGTGCTGTCTAGTACAGCAGCCGCCAGTCGCATGTGGCCATTGAGTATTTGACTTTTTTTGTTTTTGTTTTTTTTTTTTGAGATAGAGTCTCACTCCATTGCCCAGGCTGGATGCAATGGCACGATCTCAGCTCATTGCAACCTCTGCCTCCCAGGTTCAAGCCATTCTCCTGCCTCAGCTTCCCAAATAGCTGGGGTTACAGGCACACACCACCACGTCTGGCTAATTTTTGTATTTTTAGTGGAGATGGGGTTTTACCCTGTGGGCCAGGCTGGTCTCGAACTGCTGACCTCAGGTGATCCACCTCCCTCAGTCTCTCAAAGTGCTGGGATTACAGGCATGAGCCACCATGCCTGGCTGGCTATTGAGTATTTGAAATGTGGCTAGTGTGACTGAGGGTCTGAATTTCTAATTTGATTTTAAATTAATTTAAATTTAATTTAAAATAGTGGCTGGGCATGGTGGTTCATGCCTGTAATCCCAGCACTTTGGGAGGTTGAGGCAGGAGGATAGCTTGAGCCCATGAGTTCAAAACCACCCTGGGCAGCAGGGGGAGACCCCATCTCTACAAAAGAAAATTTAAAAATTAGCTGGAGATGTGGTGGTGCACACCTGTAGTCCCAGCTACTTAGGAGGCTGAGGTGGGAGAATCACTTGAGCCCAGGAGTTTGAGGCTGCAGTGAGCTATGATCATGCCACTGCACTCCAGCCTGGGCAACAGAGTGAGACCCTGTCTTAAAAAAAAAAAAAAAACAGCCTCATGTGGCTAGTGGCTACTATCTTGGACAGTGCAGTTCTAGAAGACACAGGGGACTAGCTTTACAACAACAGGACATAAAAGTTAGGTTAGGGTTAAGATGGATAAATCAAACTTGGTGCTGTGAGGCCTGGGCCCCGCTCTCCCCAATGCTAGCCCTCCCCTGACTTGGCCCATTAGGTCAAGCTCCTGTCTGCTTCATCTCTGCAGAGCTGAGGAACTGCGTGTGGAGTCAGCCCAGTCTGGATGCACAGGAGGATGCCGGCGGCACAGTGAGTGAGGCGTGGTGCCAGAGCTGTGTGGACCCCTCATTGGCCATGGAGCAGCAGGCTCAGAGGCCCTCTCCCCAGCCCTGCTTGCCTGCCTTGGAGAGGACAGAGGCCTAGGCCCACGGGGGAGGGTGTTGGCAGACAGATGCCCTCCAGGCCCTGGGGCCTCCTTAACGGCCGAGGGTGGAAGATGCCGGCCAAGGGGCGCTACTTCCTCAACGAGGGCGAGGAGGGTCCTGACCAAGATGCGCTCTACGAGAAGTACCGGCTCACCAGCCAGCACGGGCCGCTGCTGCTCACGCTCCTGCTGGTGGCCGCCACTGCCTGCGTGGCCCTCATCATCATCGCCTTCAGCCAGGGGGTGAGTGAGGGCAGCCCCTGGGCTTCACATCTCAGCCCCAACCTGGGCTTCACATCTCAGCCCCAACCTTGGCCAAGCTGCCATCTTCTCTTAGCCTCAGTTTCCTCTTCTGTAAAATGCTATTTTTTTTTTTTTTTTTTTTTTTTTTTTTTTGAGAGTCTCACTCTGTCACCCAGGCTGGAGTGCAGAGGCATGATCTCGGCTCACTGCAACCTCCGTCTCCTGAGCTCAAGCAATTCTCCTGCCTCAGCCTTCTGAGTAGCTAGGATGACAGGTGCGTGCCACCATGCCTAGCTAATTTTTGTATTTTTGGTAGAGATGGGGTTTCACCATGTTGGCTAGGCTGGTCTTGAACTCTTGACCTCAGGTGATCCACCTGCCTCGGCCCCCACAAAGTGCTGGGATTATAGACGTGAGCCACCATGCCCAGCCAATGCTATGTCTTTTACAACACGTTTAGACTGGTAGAAGACAAGTTTCTAATTAAAAAAAAATGTTTTTGAGACTGGGCCTTGCTGTGTTGCCCAGGTTGGCCTTGAACTCCTGGGTTCAAGTAATCCTCCTGGCTCATCCTCCTGAGTAGCTGGGATTACAAGCATGCATGACCATGCCCAGTCTCTCTAACTTTAATTCAATTTTGAAGTCTGGAGTGGTTTTAGATATTACATTAACTTGTCTGAATAAACTATTCTCATTTTTCTCCATGATGAAATTTGATTCTACTGAAGACCTGGGTCAGGGATGGCCTGCGTATCACTGCCCTCACTTCCTGTACCCATGCAGACATCATTAATCAATCCCTACACTCCACACTGAGCCTGTCTACATTCTCAGAATCCTCCTTCTATTTTTTATTTTTATTTTTATTTTTTCATAGAGACATGGCCTCGCTATGTTGCCCAGGCTGGTCTTGAACTCCTGGCCTCAAGCGATCCTCGGCCTCCCAAAGTGTTGGGATTACAAGCGTGAGCCACTGTGCCTGACCTCGGAATCCTTTTTAACAGCCCTCCAGGCTGGCACCACTCATGTCATTTCTGGCCTAGGCACTTGCCTTGGTACAGCCACTAGCTGTGTTCAGTTATTGAGCATTTAAAAAGTGGGTAATGTGACTGAGGAACTGCATTTTTCATCTCCCCTCCCCTCCCATCTCCTTTCCTTTCTTTTGAGACAGAGTTTCGCTCTTGTTGTCCAGGCTGGAGTGCAATGGCACCATCTTGAACTCGCTGCAGCCTCCACCTCCTGGGTTCAAGTGATTCTCCTGCCTCAGCTTCCTGAGTAGCTGGGATTACAGGCGCACGCCACCACACCTGGCTAATTGTTGTATTTTTAGTAAAAACGGGGCTTTGCCATGTTGACCAGGCTGGTCTCGAATTCCTGACCTCAGCTGATCCACCTGCCTTGGCCTCCCAAAGTGCCGGGATTATAGGTGTGAGCCACTATGCCCTGTCCATTTTCTTTTTAGTGAATGTAAATTTGATTAGCAGAGTTCTGGAATAACACTCGGAAACTCCAGGGTGTTTATATGAGTCAAGTGGCCAGGACCCAGCAGCTGCCAGTGCAGCCTGGATCCATGTGGCTATTAACCACAGGACGCTTGCTACTGTGTGCCAGCCCCCAGATCAGGCCTCTGCCCCCACGGACCTCCTGGATGCTGTGCCCATCCCATCCTACCTCTGTGCCGTTGCCCCAGCTCCTCCCCTATGGGATGACTTTTCCTGGTATCCCTCACCAGCCTCTGCTCACTCACTGAGGGCCAGGTGCAGTGTCCTCTTTGGGCAGCTTTCCAGGGCTCTGCCTGTGAACGAGTCCTGCCCTGTGCTTGTGGTATCACTTGTGGCTGTGCACAGAGCACCGTGGGAATCCAGAGAGGAGGCAGAGGTGGATGGAGAGTGATGGCATCATGGGCGGGACTGTGGGTGATGCTCTGGTTCCCGAGGTGATGGGAAGGGGGTGGTTGAGGCAGCCTTGGCAGAGGTGACAAAGAAAGGCCAGAAGGTGAGCGGGAACCAGGCTTGGGAGGGCTCATCCACACCCTTCATGTAGAGGAAGCTGTAAGTGAGGCAGCCGGCCCAGCAGGCTTTCTGGAGGAGGTGGCTCTGTACTGGGAAAAGCTGAGGCATTTCTGTCTGTTTGCTCTACCCAGGACCCCTCCAGACACCAGGCCATTCTGGGCATGGCGTTCCTGGCGCTGGCGGTGTTTGCAGCCCTCACTGTGCTGATGTATGTCGAGTGTCTCCTGCGGCGCTGGCTCAGGGCCTTGGCGCTGCTCACCTGGGCCTGCCTGGTAGCCCTGGGCTACGTGCTGGTGTTCAACGCGTGGACGAAGGCGGCCTGTGCGTGGGAGCAGGTAACGGGGCTCTGGACTCCCTGCCGGCTGCACCCTCAGGAGCTCCCATCCCCGTGGTTGGTGGGCATGCCACAGGCCCTTCCTGCCCCACGCTTGGCTGTGTGTCTAGGATGGCCCCAGGCTGGTTTTGTCCCTGTGAGTTCTCTGCATTGACAGGGCTGAGGTGGGGAGAGTGTCCACTTTGGATGTTGGGCTGCAGCACTTTCGGGTGGCTCCAGTTTGGTTGGAGATGACAGAACTTCAGCTCAAAGAGGCAAAAAGGCATAAACTGGTTCCTGTGTCAGGAAAGGCCGAGGGGTCAGTGCTGGGCTCCAGCGGGATAACTGGACCTGGGGCCTCTGGACAGCTTCAGCCCCAGGCACGCTGTCCCCAGGTGGGGGCAGAGAAGGCCACAGGGGCTCCAGGCTGCCCACCTCAGCTGAGACAGAGACCCCTTTCTCAACCAGCTCGACCTGCAGGCTTGAGCCACACTGACCTGACTGTGGTCACGGGCCCAGTCCTGGATGGTCACTGTCACCAAGCAGTGGCATACTCTGACCAGTGGGCCTGGGTCCTATGACAGCTCCTGTGGCTGGGGCGGGGTGGGGTGAGGCCCAGGGGAACCATGTGGACTGAAGGGGAGGGAGAGGGCAGCAATCCCAGAGGGGTGGACGCAGGACCGGCTGGTGGGGTTAGTGGGGCAGTTCTGGGAGTGGAGGGAGGGCGAGTGGGGCCACATTGCTGGAGGCGGCTGGTGAGAGGGTGCCTCAGCCTCCCGGTAATCATTCCTGCCGAGCAAGAGCCACGTGGCAGGGGCACCAGGTGGGGGCTCCCTGGATCACGCGGGGCGTGGAGCCTCCCACCTGGGGTGGCCACAGGCAGTGGATCAGCACAGGAAACCATGGACCACGTGGCCAGGCCCACCCCAGAAACACATTCTGGCTTTTCTTATTCCCTCGTATGCCTGCCCACGCGGTGGGTGGCGAGGGAGCCGACCTAAGGACACCGACTGGGTGGGCTGGTGTGGTGCAGGTTTCTGGGGGTCGTAGGGCCTGGGGCAGCATCTCGGGGCACTGGGCTCACCAGGCTGCATCCACAGGTGCCCTTCTTCCTGTTCATCGTCTTTGTGGTATACACGCTGCTGCCCTTCAGCATGCGGGGCGCTGTCGCTGTGGGGGCCGTCTCCACCGCCTCCCACCTCCTGGTGCTCGGCGCTTTGATGGGAGGCTTCACGACACCCAGTGTACGGGTGGGGCTGCAGGTGAGGAACGGGCTAAGGCCTCTGGGGAGGTTTTGTGGTCTGGGTCTAAGGGCAGATGGGGGCCCCCTCTGGGTGAGTCAGACCCAAAGGCCCCGGAGCCGTGTTTGTAGACAGCCGGCTCCAAGGCCAGGACCTCTCCGAGTCTGCTCTGAAGCTGGGCCTCAGGCGTGGCCCTGCCCTCTGGCCTTTGCTTTGCTGGCCTAGGGCTCCCCTGTGGCTCAGCCCTCAGGGTCATGACCTCAGGCCCTGCCTCCTGGTTCAGGGATACTGTCATGGGGTGAGTCCCGTTCCCAAAAGTTTTCCCTCACAGGCCCTCTCCTGATGGGGCTTGGGGGAGTATCCCAGGACACTGCCTTGTGTCTTTGTGTTGAATGACTGAACCATCTGTTCATAATTATTGGGGGTTTAGAGATGTGTTTTCCTCCTGACCAGGCCTGGCATCCTCTCCGGGCAGAGGCTGGCCCTCTGCACAGCCAGATGGGCGCTATGCCCTCTGGGACTGCCCTTAGCACTCAAGCCCCTCAGGCCCTGGGATCTGTGAGGTGGTCTCTTCTGCCTTCCTGGGTGTCCTGGTCTTGCAGTCCTAGTGACTCACTAGGAGACTAGTGCCTGTCTGGGCCTCAGTTTCCCTGTCTGCCCCAGGAAGAGTGCCATTCTCAGTGGGTTGGGGGTCAGGGAATGGGAAGAGGTGCCATCACTAGTCTGCCTAGGAGTCTGGTGCCTGGGAGGGCAGGGGCCAGGCCACATACTGAGCCCCACCCTGGTCCACCCGCAGCTGCTGGCCAACACAGTCATCTTCCTGTGCGGGAACCTGACAGGCGCCTTCCACAAGCACCAAATGCAGGATGCGTCCCGGGACCTCTTCACCTACACTGTGAAGTGCATCCAGATCCGCCGGAAGCTGCGCATCGAGAAGCGCCAGCAGGTGGGACCTGGCCCCCACTCCTCACCCTGCACACCCCTGTCCTCTTCCTCTTTCTGTTGGACGTGAGACACTCATGCCACCATGTGCATGAGGTGCATGGACAGACACCTGTGCAGGTCTCACCTTGGTAAGTCCTGGGCTCCAGCAGGGTAACCGTAGCCTGCTGACCCTTGACTCTGCCTTCCTCTGTGTGGTTTCAGTCCTGGGCACGCCGTCCCCAGGTGGCAGCAGAGAATGCCGTAGTGGCTCCAGGCTGCTCACGCATCAGCTTAGCCTCCCCAGCTGAAAGAGCCCTTTTCTCAGTCAGCCTGAGTCCCGGGGGCTGCTGGGTACATGGGAGGTAGATGCCCAGTTGGGTTGGTGGAGGACAGGAGCAGAGATGGAGACATTGTGGGCAGGGCAGGCAGGCAGGGAGGACAGAGGCCAGGGAGGCCAGGTCTGGGCCCTGATGCTACCTTGCCTGTCCTCCGCCGGTCCCTCTGCTGGTCTGCCTGCCGGCACCCAGGAGAACCTGCTGCTATCGGTGCTTCCAGCCCACATCTCCATGGGCATGAAGCTGGCCATCATCGAACGGCTCAAGGAGCATGGCGACCGCCGCTGCATGCCCGACAACAACTTCCACAGCCTCTACGTCAAGAGGCACCAGAATGTCAGGTGGGCGGTGAGATGTGTGGACAGCGTATCCCGGGGGCTGGGTCCACCGTTCCCCCGGCCCCCAGGTGGCCTCCCTGCCCTATCTGGAGGCTCAGACTCCTGCCCATATAGGGATTGGGAGAGGGCCCCATGGTTCCAGATTAATCCAGGGCCCTCCCTGGGCCTCAGAATCCCCACTTGTTTCCCCAGGGGCAGGATCAGATCAGGGCTCTTAAATTAGAGAATTCAGATTGGTATTGGAAGATCTAGCACCCCCAAAAACTGTAAAACTGTGTGAACAAACATAGCTTTTGTGAAGGAAGGGGTCCTTTCCGATGATTCTCAAGGGAGCACAGGACCTCCAGAAGGAGGTAAAGCCCCCCCACCTTGGTGCCCAAGAGTGCCCCAGTTCTGACACACCTGATTTGCAGGGAACCACGAAGTTTTACTTGAATGCACTGACCTGAGTTTGTCAAGTGTAGATGTGGGTGCTGGGTGCTGTTGAGTGTAGAGGTGGGTCCCGGGAGACCCCTGGGGTCCTCTGCCTGCAGCACCAGCATTACATCCAAGGCTGGCCCGCTGCCTTTTCTCTGGTCTGTGGATGGTCCATGAGCTTATGGACTTTGGAGCAGGGAAGCCTGGTGCAGATGCCAGCTCTTGGCTTCCCAGCAAGTCTCAATGTCCTGGAGCCTGTTTGTACGTCTGTAGAACGGGAGTTCTGCAAGGCTTGTGTGAAGACTCAATGCCTGTAAAGCACTGGGTGTGGAGGTTGGCTTGAGGGAGCACGGAGCTGCCTCTCACCAGGGAGTTCTAAGGTCTGTGCTGTGGCGAACATTGGATGGGAAAGGGGAAGGCTCCAGGCTGCCTGCAGGAGTGCCCTTCAGCTGTCTGCAGTGATGGGGCCCAGGGGGGGCCTGAGGGCCCCTGTAGGTTCTGGACTTTGCTCCCTTCTGCTTTAATGTGAAGTCCCTGGAACTTTAATCTGTCTTTATGGCTGGGCGCGACTCTCCCATTCCTATGGAGGCTGAGGAAGGGCAGGGGTGAATGGGCTCAGGCCTGGCAGGCTCCTGGGGCTCCAGACAGTCCTCCATGCTCCTGCTGCTGCTGTCAGGAGCCAGGCTCTGACACTCCCTCCCATCCCGCCCCACCCCCAGCATCCTCTATGCGGACATCGTGGGCTTCACGCGGCTGGCCAGCGACTGCTCCCCCAAGGAGTTGGTGGTGGTGCTGAACGAGCTCTTTGGCAAGTTCGACCAGATCGCCAAGGTGAGCCTGCCGGCCTGCACTGGGCAAAGCCAGGCCCCTCCCCTGCCCATTGCATCTCCAGGGGTGTCCTGTGTCCAGCGCCCTGCTGGGATTGGGATGGGGAGGCGTGGCTGAATTTTAGCATCCAGTCAGCAAACACAAGCACCCCATGGTAAAGGTGGGGGTGAGTGGTGGCCACGGCAGCCAGGATCCTGTGCTCCGAGTGTGAGGCCAGTGGGGAGATGGACAGTGCACACTGGGCGATCTACTGGGGCTCCGGAGCTCAGATGGGGGCTCAGGAGGAGGAGATGGCTCCATCCTCACTGGCAAGGCCAGCAGCTCAGGAGGACTGTGGAATGCCCAGCCTCACCCAGAACTGCTTTTCACAAGATCTGCGGTGAATCATGGGCACATTAAACTTTTATGTTTTATTGTTTGTTTTTGTGAGATGGAGTCTCACTCTGCCATCAAGGCTGGAGTGCAGTGGTGCCATCACTGCTCACTGCAGCCTCTACCACCCAGGCTGTGATTCTCGTGCCTCAGCCTCCTGAGTAGCTGGGACTACAGTGTGGCACCCGCCACCACGCCTAGCTAATTTTTTGTATTTTGTATTTTTATTTTTTGTAGCAATGGGGTTTCGCCATGTTGGCCAGGCTGGTCTCGAACTCCTGACCTCAAGTGATCCTCCCCTCTTGGCATCCCAAGTGCTGGGATTACAGGCGTGAGCTCCTGGCCCACCTTAAAGTTTGAGATACTTGAAAAAACATCTGAGGAGGAAAGGGAACAGTGTTCTTAGCAGGGGGAACAGCATAGACAAAGCCTGGGGTAGAAAGAAAGCCCTGTGTGTCCATGGGGTGAATATGCTCAGTGGGCGTGGAACAGGGTGTGAAGCGGACAAGGGCACAAGGTCAGACGTGCAAGGACATGAGGGCCAAGGCGAGGACCAGGATGCTGAGGAGCTCGACAGGTGCCAGGCAGGGAGGGAGGTCAGGCAAGGAATATTTCCATTAATGGACCAAATGGTCCTGAGAGTGGGTGAGTGCCAGGCCCTGAACCTGGGTGGGGCCTTGGGCCTCCATGGTATGTGTTTGAAGAGAAGTGTGGGGTCCAGGAAGCCTGGGGAGTACCCAGCCCAGCTTCAGGTGATCAGGGCAGGTTTCCTAGAAGTGGTGGCCATTAAATAGAGGCTGAAGTGTAATTTAAGGTGGTGGCTCCCTATCCTGGCTGTACTTGGGAATCACATGGAAAGCTTAAAACACCAATGCCCGTGTCCATACCCATCAGAGTTTTGTTTTGTTTTGTTTTTGAGACAGTCTTGCTCTGTCACCTAGGGTGAAGTGCAATGGCATAATCATGGCTAACTGCAGCCTCAACCTCCCTGGGCTCAGTGAACTCCCACTTCAGCCTCCCGAGTAGCTGAGACTACAGGTGTGCACCACAACCCCAGGCTAATTTTTTTTTGTATTTTGTTGAGATGGGGTTTTGCTATGTTGTCCAGGCTGGTCTTGAATTCCTACACTCAAGTGATCCACTCACCTCAGCCTCCCAAAGTGCTAGGATTACAGGCATGCATCATCATGCCGTGCCACATCAGAATTTTTTTTTTTTTTTTTTGGAGACGGAGTCTCAATCTGTCGCCCAGGCTGGAGTACAGTGGCGTGATCTCGGCTCACTGCAAGCTCCACCTCCCGGGTTCACGCCATTCTCCTGCCTCACCCTCCTGAGTAGCTGGGACTACAGGCGCCCACCACCTCGCCCGGCTAATTTTTTGTGTTTTCAGTAGAGACAGGGCTTCACCATGTTAGCCAGGATGGTCTCGATCTCCTGACCTTGTGATCCGCCTGCCTCGACCTCTCAAAGTGCTGGGATTACAGGCGTGAGCCACTGTGCCTGGCCAGAATTTTTAAGAGCCTTCCAGGTGTCTCTGTGGGCAGAGAATCAATGGTCTAGAACTTGATGGGAGGCAAGTTATGACTTCACACCGGGAAAAAGTTTTCACGATCAGAGCAGCTCAATCCTAGGAGGACTGGGAGTGGGCTCCCTGTTGCAGGGGGTAACCAAGCTTCTATAGGATTGCACTGGTCAGGGATGCTCTGGAAAACTGTCCCATCCTGGGGATTGTGGACTGAGTGACTCAGAGGGCCTGTCTAGCCTGGAACCTTCCTTCAGGATCTGCATGGCTTCTGAGCCAGCAGCTGGGAGCCCCAGAGGTTGAGGCTCATGTGAGGCAGGGGCCCTGGGCTCGGGCCACAGCTGGCCCTTTCCTTACCATAAAGCCCATGCAGAGGGTCCCTTGCCTCTTGCACACAGTCTTCCCTCTCCAGCAGGCCCAGGAGGCATGGCCCTATTGCACAGATGGGGAAAGGGAGGCCATGGCAGGTGCCAGCTTCCCAGAGCATCTAATCTCTGGGCAGAGTTGGGCAGGGCTGGTCCCAGCCTTTTCTCCTATCAACAATAAGATTCCAGAAGTGTAAGCTCTTTCCAAGAGCCAGGGCCTCCTCTCTCAGAGGCATACAAGTCACACCTTGGCGCAAGACCCAGCTCCCCAACTCCAAGTGTCAGAGACGCAGGGGACTGTCAGCCGGTGGAGCAGCCTGGGGAATGTGGCCTCCCCTACATCCCTGAGAGCCAGGCTGGGTCCATGGGCAGTCCCGTGCCTGGTCCGAGAGGAGATCAGGGTAGCCGGACCCTAGTATCCAGGTCTGCCAAGGTTGCCTGCTTTCTAGGAAAGTCACTGTCCTCATGTCCCTTCAGTCACTCAGAACTCACTCAGCATGTGCCAGATGGGGCCCAGCAGGAAACATCTGGCAGACGCTCAAACTGAGTAATTGGAGGAGGGCGCAGGCCAGGGACAGTTCCCAGGATGGGCAGGTGCAGGGGACCTGGAGGCAGGGCTGGTGCTGTGTCTGGGGCCTGGGTCTGTGATGACTGATAGGCACAGAGTGGGGACGAGGACAGGATAGGCTCTAGACCTGGAGACAGATGGTGTTCCAGGAGCAGGGCTAGCCCTTGTGAGCCTGCAGGACAGAGCCCTCTTAGCTCCCTCCCCGCCAGAAGCCAGAGCACAGGGCCACCTGCCGGAGTGTCCAGTCCAAGGGTCAGCCGAGTGGGTAGAGGGTGGGGAGGGGAGAGCAGAGGCAGGTGGTGCTCCTTCTTCAGCTCCCCTAAAGCCCCACCCACGAGGCCTCGGTGCACGTGGCCACGCTTGCTGAAGGCTTAGGGAGGGCCTGGTGATGCAGCAGTGCCTCAGATGAACCTCAGAGGGCTCTTGGGGTCCCCTTCCCTCCCTGGGAAGTCCCCGGCCTCGCCCCTCTCTGTCTCCGCCCTCCCCATCCCTCTTTCCTCTTTGCATTGGTATCTTTCCTCCCCACCCCTAAGCCGTGTCAGCACAGCCACTGCTTGGGTGACCTTGAAACCTGCTGACTCCTTGGTGTGTGCACCTGTGACCTCTGTCCTCACTCCCCACTCCTGCAGCCTCCTGGCTGCCTCGCTGTCTCTTCCCCAGCTCCTATGAGTCCCTGAGCACTCTCCCTGCAGAGACTGGCATGGCCGGCTCTCTCGGTTCCTCAGGGTCTTAGCTCAAATGATTCTGATTCCTTCTCTGAGAGGTCTTCGCTGGCTTCCTGGGAACATCACCTCCCTCCTGTGCCTTGGTTTTCTCCTTAGTCCCCATCACTAAGAGGGGCACACTGCTTTCTTTTTGTCTTTTTAGTTTAGTGACCACCCCTCCTGCCTGCGTGCAAGCTCTGTGGCTGCAGAGATTTTCGTCTGTTTTGTTCATTGCTGTGTCCCCTTGTCTGGCCTGGGGCCGGGTACTCAGTAGGCATTCAAACATTACCTGGGCAAATGAAACCAAGGCAGACACCTGCCCGAGGCCCTTAGGAACACTTGTGTTCACCTCTGGTGCTTGCCTGGGGGTTCCTCCTGGGGAGGCTCCCATGTTGCTAAGCCTTTTGCCAGGCCCAGAAGTGGCTCCTGGTGGCTGGACCCCAGGAGGCAAGCCCCCAACCAGGAGAGAGCCGGGCGCACCCTGGAGGGTCAGGGGAGGTGGCTGTCGCGAGAGGTCCCGGCCCCAGACCTTCCAGTGACCAGACCCCTCCCTCACCCTGCAGGCCAACGAGTGCATGCGGATCAAGATCCTTGGTGACTGCTACTACTGTGTATCGGGCCTGCCCGTGTCGCTGCCCACCCACGCCCGGAACTGTGTGAAGATGGGGCTGGACATGTGCCAGGCCATCAAGTAGGTCCTGGGCAGGCCCAGGCACTGGGTCCTGCCCCATGGCAGACCCTCCTGGGCATGGTAGGGAATTTGTCATTCCCATGTCACCAATGGGGAAACTGAGGCTCGAGGGATGGGGGGGTGAAATCAGCTTGCCTGGACCACCCAACCTGCTGGAGGATTCAGACCTCATCTGTTTGTGTCCCTCCCCGTGGTGCTGCCTGTGACTCTGAGTCCCAGAAAGCATCTCCGGAGCTCAGAGCTGGGTAATGTGAGGTCAGGGCAGTGAGATCCGCTTCCCTCAAGGCTGGGGTCTTAGCAACAGCAAGAGGCTTCAGGGCAGGCAGCCGGGGGACCTTTCAGACCCAGGGATCGACTCCAAGGCTCCATCTGCTTGCTGCTCCCCAGTGAAGATCCTGGAGTCAGGCTTGGTCCTGAGGCTGCGGGGAGACCCCCAGCTCTCCTCCAGGTCCGCTGCGGCTCTGAGCAGCCGGGGTCTGTGGCAGGAACTTGCTGAGAGGGCCGTATGGGGAGAGGGCCAGGCAGGCCCAGCCAGGCTGACCAGTGTGGGGCAGAGCAGGGCCTGGTGGGGCTGCCGGTCCCAGGCATCAGTCCCTGTTCCAGACTGTCCTCCTGAAGTCCAGCCACAGGTGGCTGGTGTTGCCAGAAAGAAGCCTGGGCAGAGCTGGAGGGGCCTGGCCCTGCACCACTGCCTGCGTGACCTCAGGCCGGCCCCTGTCCTGTAACAGGTGGAGGTTGTACAGGCTCTCATGTGCCTCTGGCTCTGACCCTGGAAGGCTTGGTCAGTGCCCAGCCTTGTTGGTGGACACATGGTGCCGCTTGTTATGGGGACTCAGGCTCTGTTCCTGTCTTGGGGTCCCCTGTGCCCCAGGGAAGCTCTCCTGTGGGGCTCCGCTCCTGTTCTCAGTGGTGCCAACAGCTCCTAGGGCCCCTGCTTCCCAGGGACTGGTGGGGGGTGCATAGAAGGTGCCCATGGTCTGGGCCCTGTGTTCCTTGTCTATGCTAGGTTTTGGGTGGTTCCTGGACCCCCTCTGTAGACCCCAGCAAACTTAAACTTATTTATTTATTTATTTATTTATTTATTTATTTATTTATTTATTTGAGACAGAGTCTCGCTCTGTTGCCCAGAGTGCATCTTGGTTCACCACAACCTCTGCCTCCTGGGTTCAAGCGATTCTCCTGTCTCAGCTTCCCAAGTAGCTAGGACTACAGGCGCTTGCCACCACACCCAGCTAATTTGTATATTTTTAGTAGAGTCAGGGTTTCACCATATTGGCCAGACTGGTCTCAAACTCCTGACCTCAGGTGATCTGCCTGCCTCAGCCTCCCACAGTGCTGGGATTACAGGCGTGAGCTACCACGCCCGGCCCCCAGTAAACTTTTAAAACCCAGCCAGTGCTGCTGGGCAGGGAAAACACCCAGTGATGGTATTTTGGGTCCATCAACATGGGCTGTAGTGACTAGTTGAAATTCCTCCTCCTTCTTACCTAACCCCTGAGGTCAGGTGTGGCCACACCTACTTGTGTGCTCCCGGGCACGGGCACTCAGCTCCTCCTAAAGAGGAAGCCGCATCAGGCTGAGAACATTCTCTCCCGTGGGCTGAGCCTGCCCTGTCCCCACACCCTGTCCGGTACCCACCCCACACCTGGGAGCTTCAGCCTGTCCCAGGGCTTAGGCAGGGCTGGGGTGACTGTGCCACTCTGCCCCAGGCAGGTGCGGGAGGCCACGGGCGTGGACATCAACATGCGTGTGGGCATACACTCGGGGAACGTGCTGTGCGGGGTCATCGGGCTGCGCAAGTGGCAGTATGACGTGTGGTCCCACGACGTGTCCCTGGCCAACCGGATGGAGGCAGCCGGAGTCCCCGGGTAAGGCTGGGCTGGGCAACGGCAGGGCCAGAGGCCTGGGGCTGGCTGTGGATGGAGGGTTCTGCGGTAGGTTGGGGGGTGGTCAGGTGTGGAGGGAGGGATGAATGCAGAAAAGCTGGCCTGGGGCCCGGGCCTGCCTGCTGTACTTCCCTGGGTGGATGCCAGCCCTCTCTGGGTTCCGAGGCTCTGCCTGACTTGGGTCTCCCGCAGCCGGGTGCACATCACGGAAGCGACACTGAAGCACCTGGACAAGGCGTACGAGGTGGAGGATGGGCACGGGCAGCAGCGGGACCCCTACCTCAAGGAGATGAACATCCGCACCTACCTGGTCATCGACCCCAGGGTACGAGGGCTCGGAGGCCGCAGCTGGGGGGGGACCCGGAGGGGCTGGAGGGGCCCTGGGAAGCCTGGCCTGCACCTCAGGGGAGACCCGCATGGAGGGAGAGGTGGGGAAGGGTCCTGCCTGGGCAGGAGTGAGCTCCCTGTTCCCAGGCACGTTCTAGGCACTGAGTAGTCACTCCCTGGGCCTCCATTCTTTTCTGTGTGATGGGAAAACAGCACCTGCCTCACCAGAAGGAGCTAATCTGAGCGAGGCCCTTGCGGCACGCCTGGCACGTCACAGCATTCTATGAATTATCGTCGCTCTTGGTTTATTTTCCATGAGGTGGTTACTAATCTCGCAGATTTCTGAGAGACACACTTTCGAAACAAGCTTTGGATGAGACTCAGGAAAGCAGGGAGTGGCCTGGGAGCCACTGGGCAGGAGCCTCTGAGTGTCCTGGGTGCTGACCGCAGGTCCCCTGGTGGCTCCAGGACCCCATGGTGGGGGAGGCAGTTCCACTGCCCTGGCCAGGTGGGGCCCACCTTGGCCTGTCTGCTGCCCACCCCTGGTCTGCTCGAGGGAGTCTGGCATGTCTGGCCACTACTCTGTGAATCATCCTTGAGGCTTGCTCAAGAATGTCGGCCCAGCCAGCGAGTGGCTCCTTTCACTCTGGTCCTGAATGTGCCTTGGGGCTGGCCCGACTGCCAGACCCTGGGGGCCCAAGGGCTGGCCTGTGAGCCTCTCTACACATCTGCTGGCCTCACTCTGCCCCCAGCACCCCCAGTGCTGCGCCATCCATACTGAGCCAGCATCTGGGAAAACCCCTCCCAGTACCTGTGTCCTGCGCCACCACCCTCCTAGAATAGGGCAGCGATCCTCGCCCTGTATCCTGGCCCTGGCCCCGCCCCTCCAAGCCCCTCCCCTGCTCTCCTGTTCCCCTCACCCCACCTGGTCTCCTCCTGCCCTTCCACTACCAGGCTGGTGGCACCCGCAGGTCCCTGCACCCAAAGCACTCCTCCCTCCGTCCCTAATGCCCTTGCTTGTTTATCCATTTTCCTTGTCTGTTGTCAGCATGAGTGCCATGCCGGGGGGCTCCTCCTCTCCAGGCTGCAGCCCCCTACCCCGTGCTGAGATGGGTGCCCAGCTCGAAGCTGGTGCTCAGATAGCCCTTGAATGAATGAAGCAGTGCGCCTCACCTAGGAGACTCCAAAATCTACCCCCGCAGGCTGCCAGGTGGAGCGGAGAAAACTGCAGGCTGCCTGGGCAGACTTGAATTTCAGAAAACCGTGAATCATGTTCGCATAAGTGTTGCACGCAGTACTCAACTGGGCAGCTGTATTTATCTGGCAGCTTGTATCTGTATTTATCTGTATTAATCTGGCAGAAGTTTTTGTTTAACTTTATTCATCCACGCAGTTGAAGTTCAAAAGGTGTGAAGGGCATGTTGTAGAAAGAGTCCTTGTCCCCAGCCGCCACATCTCCTCAGAGGGGACCTGTGCAGTGAGTTTCTTGTATTCCCTCCACAGGGATTTTCATGGACACAGTGAACTGCGAGTCCCCCGACCCTTCATGCTAAGGTGGCAGTGGCGGGCCCCATGGTCGTGCACCCTGCATTTTTCCTACCTTTGGGACATCCCTCCTGTGTGCAGGGAACTTGTCTGTAGCTCCTGTTTTTGACACGGAGGTAGATTTTCTGCACTGGCTTCTATGGGCTTTGCCTCACCACTGCTGTATGGCCTGACTGGGGCAAGGTGGGCTCCTGTGGACTGGATGTGGCTGCAGGTGCCCCCATGGGGCTCATACCAATGCCACACCCATTCTGAGTAGGATGTGTTTGCTCAGAACTGAGGAATCTGATTTTTATTTATTTCTGCTTTTTGTTTGTTTCTCAGGGGGCTGGGGTGTCTGGATTCTCTGCTAAGTGCCAGTGACCTTGAACTTGAACGACTGGGCACTGTGTAGGCAGAGTTGCCACAATGGACGAGGGGACAGAGAAATGCACCCACCCCCACCAGGTTGCTCATCACAGGGCCAGCGAGCTCTTCCTGCTCCGGGACACTCACCAAGGCCAAATTCCACATGGCTTCCATGGCTAGGCAGATAGACGCGGCTAAGGACTTAAAAATGTTTCTATCCCAAAAGGAGGCAAGAGGTTTCCAGGAAAGTTGAGCTGTGGCTTAGTGAGTGTTTGTAGTTGTGGAGGCTTGTCCACCGGGCGTTTGCGGGGCCCTAGGAGACAGGACTTTTGGAGGCAGGGGAATGTTTCAGGGGCTAAGGACTCAGCAGACCTGGAGCCGGCTTAAGCTCATCTCTGGTGGCCTTTGGGTCTTTCTCTTCCCTGCCCCTTTTCCAGTCCTGTCTGGCCGCCCCAACTGAGGAAGGCCTCAGGCATGTGTTCTTGGCTCAGGGGGGTCTCAGGTCTGTGGCATGAGGGGGTTGGCGGGTAGGGCTGGCCATGCATTCAGGGCCTGCTGAGCTACTGGGTGTCCAGCATAAGGCTGGGTCTCACAGGCACGTGGCAGGTCATGGCCCTGTGCCATCTGCGGTTGGGGGCCACACAAGTGGAACTCTCTGGATCGCTGCCTTGGGGGTTGGCTGGCCTCTGGCTTGGCCATTTCTTGGGGTGGCCAGTGCCCCTCTTCCTCCTGGCTGCTTCCCACAGGCAGGAGCGAACGCGCGCCGGCCACACGTGGGAGGGCGGGCTAGGATGGACACACGGGAGGGCGGGCGAGATGGAGCGAACGCGAGCCGGCTGCACGCACGGGGAGGGCGGGCTAGATGGAGCGACCGGCGCCGCTGCACGGGAGGGCGGGCTAGGATGGAGCGACCACGCGCTGCCACGTGGGAGGGCGGGGACAGATGAGCTTAACGCGCGCCGGCCACACGTGGGAGGGTGGGCTAGGAAGGAGCGAACCAACAGGTGCCGGCCACACGTGGGAGGGCGGGCTAGGATGCCTGTGGCTTCCCCAGGTGCCTCCTGGGGAGGGGCTGATGGGTGCTCAGACCCCAGGGACTCTCTGGTTCCAAGGAGCCTCAAGGGCAGTGGGGCTTCGGGCTTGGGACCCGAACCCTGCCTCTCTCCTTGGGGAGGCAGAGCAGGGAGTGGGGTTGGGTACCGTGGTGGGTACGCGCTAGCCTCTTCTCCGCCTGGAGCAGGGCCAGGGCGCCGAGCTGTGACCCCATATGGCCTGGCCTCAGTGTGCACCAGGCTTTGGCTGGCCAGTCCCCAAGGGCAGCCACTCTCCAGGGGGACTGCGGGTTGAGCAACTTCTTTGCTGTTTATTTTTTCATGGACTCAGGGTGGTGTCACACTTCAGGAAGAGCCGGATGGGGGTGGCAGCCCCTTCCTGGGCCGAGAGGGGAGGAGGTGGCACAGGCCTGTGTCCATGTCTGCCCCCAGAGCCAGCAGCCACCCCCGCCCAGCCAACACCTCCCCAGACCCAAGGGGGATGCGGCCCTGAAGATGCGGGCGTCAGTGCGCATGACCCGGTACCTCGAGTCCTGGGGGGCAGCGCGGCCCTTTGCGCATCTCAACCACCGAGAGAGCGTGAGCAGCGGCGAGACCCCCGTCCCCAATGGGCGGAGGCCTAAGGTAGGTCCCCCTCCCACCCAGAGAGCCAGGGATTGAGGCCCCAAGCCAGGGGCGGGAGAGTGAGTGCTGAAGATCTCCTACCCTCTCAGCCTCACTGTCCCCATCTGTAAAATGGCCACAGCCTCTGCCCTACCTCCTGGGGCTGGAGAGGAAGCAAAGGCATTTGGAGAATACGCCAGGATGGCCAGGAACATCCCTGTCCTCCTTGGTGCCTGGACCATGCTCAGTTGTAGTCAGGATGTCTGTGGCTTGGATGACCCCGACACCTTGTCCTGTGTATCAAGTGCTGGAGGGGCTGCACCTGGCCCAGCAGTGGCCTTCAGGGCCCAGTGTTCTGGGGAATGACTGTATCCTTTCCTCCCTTCCCTTTCAGAGCGTTCCCCAGCGCCACCGCCGGACCCCAGACAGGTGCGTGCCCTGCCATCCTGGCAAGTCCTGCTGTAGCCACCTCCTCCAAGCAGGCTGCCCTGACCAGCCTCTGTCCAGTGGGCAGCTCTGCAAGGCCCAGCCCAGGACCTCTGTGAAGTTGGCCAGGGCTTGGGTCAAAGCATTTCCAGGAACCAGAGTTTCCTGGCTCCTGGCCCTTCTACATGGCCTTGATGGAGCATCTGTTGTGTGGTGCCCTGGCGGGGTCAGTGGAGTCGGTGGAAGGGAAGGAGATGCCTATGGGTGTTCTGGTCTCCATGCCAACCCTGGGGGTGTAGATGAAGACGCCTTGGACTGGGGCTCGGGTCTGCCCTCTGCGTCTGGCTGGGCTGCTGGCCAGTTGGGCCATGCTGTACGATGCTGGGTCCTCACTTGCCCTCTCTGGGCCTCAGTGGGACCCACCCATTCCTTCACCATCCCACACAAGGTTCTGGGACCGCACTGGTGGCCACGCCCATGCCCTCCTCTGGGAGAGTTGGAGGTGGTCCCTGTGCCCATGCTGTTGTTGGTATCTGATTTCAGGAGCATGTCCCCCAAGGGGCGGTCGGAGGACGATTCGTACGATGACGAGATGCTGTCAGCCATCGAGGGGCTCAGCTCCACGAGGTGAGGCCTGAGACCTCTGTCCACCCCCATCTCCTCTCCCCCTTGGATAGGGGTCCCCCATGTGGGCAGGCCCACCTCATGCCCCATGCCTGGTGGCCCAGTCTTGTTCCTTCCCCCTGCCTGCTGCCACCTCCCGAGGGAATGGACCCCTTCCCAGCTCCCATCTCACCACAGCTGCCCCCGCCCACAGGCCCTGCTGCTCCAAGTCTGACGACTTCTACACCTTCGGGTCCATCTTCCTGGAGAAGGGCTTTGAGCGCGAGGTGAGGACCCCAGCAGCCCCCCCCCAACAGAGGGACAGGGTCTCCAGGCTTGGGGTGGGGTGGGAGGCACAGGTCATGGGGCAGCCTGCATTCCCAAGACCGGCTAGGGGAGGGGCACTGAGAATCCACAGCTGCTCCCGGGTGGGGGTGGGGGCGGGGCCAGTGCGGCACCAGCCTGGCGCTCTCTCCTGTCAGCCTCATTCCATGACCCAAATGCGCCATCAGAGATTTGCCTCCATGGTTCTTCAAGGTTTTTGCTCCGTCCAGTGCAAAGCCTTAGCAGATCCTGGCATGGATGCCTCAGGCTGACGGCACTGGCCTTGCAGTGAGATGAGAACCCAAAACTCAGTTATCACTGTCCTGTCTTGCTGCTACGAGCTTTTTGTACTGATAACGACCATTTCTTTCCTGAGTGCCTTCTGAGTTCCGGCAGCATCCTCGGCACCCACATTATACAATTTAACCGTCACACGGCCAGCCCAGGGGTGCTGCTGTACCACTTCACAGACAGGAAACTGGCTCTCAGAGGCTTCAGAGCCTGTCCCCAGCTTCAGGTGTGGCCTGTCAGAGAGGACAGTCCCGGCCCTTGGTGCTCCAGGGGTACCCCTCTCCCTCCTCAGCCTGAGGAAGTGGCACCCAGAGTCCAAATTTGGGAGTACTTCCTCTTGTGGGGCTCCCTGAGTTGGGGGCTTCCTAGGTGAGGTCACGAGGAAACCTGCCTGGCAGGTCTTGCTGGCCAAGTGACCTGCAGGGTGTGGCTGGTGTGGCCGGGCCGCCAAGCCTGCTTTCCTTCCCTGCAGCAGGAACCCTTCTGGGGCTGTGATCCCACAGTGGCACCTGGGTGGGGGGCGGGATGGTCTCCCTACCTGCCAACTTCTTGGCTTGAGGCAAGGACAGCCCCGGAAGCTCAGACTTGGCTCCTATCCATGTACTTGGGGCCATGAGCTCTGCAGGGACCTTGCAAAGAGAGAGACGGGTGGTGTAGGGGAGGGGAAGGCATTGTCTTCAAATAGGAAAAAGCGGAGAATGGGAACAAAAGAAACTTACCAAGTGTCACATCACCTGGAACTCCAGGAGGGTGGGAGGGTTTTAATTTATTTATTTTAGAAATAGAGATAGGGTCTCACTATGTTGACCAGGCTGGTCTCAAACTTCTGGGCTCAAGTGATCCTTCTTCCTTGGCTCCCAAAGTGCTGGGATTACAAGCGTGAGCCACTGTCCCAGCAAGGAGGTGTTTTTCTAAAGCTGATTCACTGGAGGCGGGGTGGGCAAGTGGCACTGCAGGTGGCCACCCCTCACAGTCCCTGTTGCCCCCAGTACCGCCTGGCACCCATCCCCCGGGCCCGCCACGACTTTGCCTGCGCTGGCCTGATTTTTGTCTGCATCCTGCTCGTCCACATCCTGCTCATGCCCAGGTCAGTTGTGGGGAGGGGTGTGGGGGTCCAGCCTGCTGGGATCCAGGCTGGAAGGTGACCGACCATGGCAGGACCCACCAGAGAACCTGCAAGGAGCTGCATGATTTGGGCTGGAAGGGGTCGGCTGCTGGGGTCCCAGCAACTGGACCAGAGGTTGTGGCTGCACACCTTGAGTTACCAATACTTCTTTTTAATAGAATGTGTGTTTTCTGCCATAGGCCTCCCTACTCCCTAACGTCTCTCTCCTCAGTCACCTGTCATATATGTGGCCTGCAGGCATTTTGGTTGGCAGCCCTTGCCTTAGGTGTTTGGAGTGCTAGGAGGACAGACTCTGAAAACTGTAGGCACCATCCTTTCTCTCTTATATACAGGGAAATTGAGGCACAGAGAGTTAATGATTTATCCAAAAGTCACTGAGATTCATGCTTCTGGCTCTAGGGCCCTGCTGGTGGGGTATACGGATGGAGGTGAAATCAGAGGGAAGGAGTATCTATGGTCAGCTACTTGGTGCTTTCTAGAAGAACAGTTAGGCCGAAGCATGGATCAGGATTGTGGTTTTGGCTATGCTTAATAAAGACATAATAGGGAGGCTGGACGCGGTGACTCACACCTGTAATCCCAGCACTTTGGGAGGCCGAGGGGCAAATCACTCGAGGTCAGGGGTTTGAGAGTAGCCTGGCCAACGTGGTGAAACCCCATCTCTGCCAAAAATACAAAAATTAGCCGGGCGTGGTGGCAGGCGCCTGTAATCCCAGCTACTTGAGAGGCTGAGGCAGGAGAATGGAATGAACCTGGGAGGCGGAGCTTGCAGTGAGCCGAGATCACGCCACCGCACTCCAGCCTGGGTGACAGATTGAGACTCCATCTCAAAAAAAAAAAAAAAGACATAATAGGGAACACGTTTTGACTGTTTTTTTTTCTGAGTCTAAAGGCAGCAGACATTGCTCATTTCTTACACACTTGGACCAAAAAGAGTGCCATGGTCTTGACCTCAATCTTCATGGTCTAGCCGGGCCCTGTGTGTTGCCCATGGGGCAGCTGGGCCACAGTTTTCACAGGTCCCCTTTGCTGTGGGCAGAATACCAGGTGGGGTGGGGACAGGTGGCTGTGCTCCAGAGGATTGGTGGGGGTAGTGGTCCTGGGCAGAAGGCCCGAGGCAAAACTGAAGTTCTTCCCTCCTCTCCAGGACGGTGGCACTGGGTGTGTCCTTTGGGCTGGTGGCCTGTGTACTGGGGCTGGTACTGGGCCTGTGCTTTGCCACCAAGTTCTCGGTAAGTGGGGAGCTCTGGCCCCCTGGACCCTCTCTCCCTGCCTTGGGACGCCTGCCCAGGAGTCCTCCCTGGTGAGCTTGGCCGGGCTGAGCCCCTGCTCTGGTCAAGGTTGGGTGCCCATCTCTCCTGCCTCAGGGACAATTTCCTGAGTGCCCTGGAGGCTTCTTCTGAGGGACCCCTCCCCAGGCTGCCTGCAACCAGCCCTCCTTGCCCAGGCTGTTGACTTTGGGTGACTTGACCCTGTTACCCCACAGAGGTGGTGCCCAGCCCGGGGGACACTCTGCACTATCTCCGAGAGGGTGGAGACGCAGCCCCTGCTGAGGCTGACCCTGGCCATCCTGACCATCGGCAGCCTGCTCACTGTGGCTATCGTCAACCTGGTGGGTCCTGGGGTGGGGAGGCAGGCCTCCTGGGTAGAGGGAGACCTCCAGATTTGGGATGCCTACAGTGTGGCCTTAAAAGCTGCCTCTGGTTGACCTCTCCTCCAAGCTCAGCAGGTGGCCGTTGGGGGTTCCTCTTTGCAGACTCAGGGCTCCTCACCTTTGGGCTTTCAAATGAGGACTTTGGGGGCCCAGAGAGCTTGTGTGGCCAGCCCCAGGAGGATGGGATGCTTTGAGCCACCACATCCTGACACCTCATTCATTCTTCACGGTCCTTCTGAGACTCAGTTTCTCCTCTCGGGGATGAACCCTTGCTCCTCTGCTGGTGCTCAGAGGCTCAGTGCTGCAGAAAGCAGCCTGTGGGACACTTGTCTACCCGCCTCTTGGACCCCGCGTCCCAGGTTAGGGCCTCTCTCACCTCTCTGCCCTGGACCCTGGGTTTTTGGAATGTGTTACTGTGACCACCTCCCTCAGGGTCACTGGGGAGAAGGTTGAAAATGTTGGTCCTGGCCCCACCCCCTGGCCGCTGCTCTTCTGGGGGTGACTGTGCCCTCATCTCCTAGCCCCTCTGCCCTGTGAACCCGATGGCTGCTGTGGGGTGTCGGCACGGTGGCTTGAGCCATGCTCAGAGCTGAGCCCAACGTGAAACCTCAGGCTGCTGTGACACTCGTGATTGCCTGGGGCCCACCTTGCATGGCCTGGGCAGGTTCCAGTGTTCCTGTCCCTGGACTAACTCTGATGGGGACCCATCTCCTCTGCAGCCCCTGATGCCTTTCCCAGTCCCAGAGCTGCCTGTTGGCAACGAGACAGGCCTACCAGCCGAGAGCAGCAAGACCAGAGCCCTGTGCGAGCCCCTCCCGGTGAGTGCATTGGGCCCAGCTCCGTGGCCTCACTCAGAGTGGGGCTGCTGCCGCCAGGGGTGCAGTTCGGACCCTCAAAGCATGGGTGCTGACCCCTGAGAGCACAGCACGTGGAGGCTGAGACCAGTCTCTCCTGCAGAGGTGGGAAAGCAGGGCCCCATGGGCCCAGCTGGACTCTGGCCCAAGGGAGTGAGGAGTCCTGGCCTTGGCAGGCTTGGTCTAGGCTGTGTGGGCGGGCAGGGAGTGAGGAGAGCATCTGGCCTTGTGGGAATCTCCGGGTCAGGGTACTTCCTCTCTGACAGGCCTGCCGCTGTTTTATACACAAGTATTCGCAGCTCAGGGAGGGGTTTCATTAGGTGGTGGTGCCAGGGCAGGCTCAGGCAGGCTGATGGCAGAGGTCAGGGTGTCTGCCTGGAGGCCCTTGCAGACAGCAGACTCTGCAGCTTCAGAGGGTGGCAGTGCTCTAAAGAGCAGAAAGGTTCTGGGACAAGGGATGGTGTGGGGAAAAAGCTGAGGCGTGTGTTGGGAGCAGTGGGGTTTTGGGTGGGTTGTCTCCTGGGGAGGGAGTGGGAAGAACCGGGATACTGAGCCAGGGGCAGGCTTGATCCAGATTGGGAGGTGCAAGAATGCCGGGGTGAAGAGCGTGGTCTTTATTCTGGGGGCTGGGGAGCCATAGCACAATCTTGAGCAGGGCAGAGGTCCTTTGGAAGGGTAAGCTCACAAAAACTCAGGGAGGCAACTTGGATGCATGCATGCTCCGGCCTTGACCTTGACTGTGGTCTGTCATATCCCAGAACATCTGCATACTATGTTTTCTCCCCTTTAAATGAGCGCACTTCATAAGAAATAAAACTACAGTAAAAACAACAAAACAATGGACACTCTTAGGTCTCATTGTTTTTTGTTGAGAAGGGAGGTGGTAAGGCAAGAGGGTGATGCTGAGGTGCTGGGGAGTGGAGCTCTGGGGTATGTGCTGGGCCTGAGGCGAGAGTAGGTGGTGGGGTGGCTCTGTCCTGAGTGACACCCCACCCCTCAGTACTATACCTGCAGCTGTGTCCTGGGCTTCATCGCCTGCTCCGTCTTCCTGAGGATGAGCCTGGAACCAAAGGTTGTGCTGCTGACAGTGGCCCTGGTGGCCTACCTGGTGCTCTTCAACCTCTCCCCATGCTGGCAGTGGGACTGCTGTGGCCAAGGCCTGGGCAACCTCACCGAGCCCAATGGTACCACCAGGTGGGGCCCCACCCATCCCTGTCCCCACGGTGGCCTGTTCACCTGGTGCCTGCTCACACCAAGGGGCTTCTGTGTTCATAGGGAGTGGGCACCTTGCAGGGTGGGGCTGGCAGATGGCCTGGCTTTCATCTCACAGTTGGGACGGACGCTTGCCCAGGTCCCAGGTCTCCAGCGCTCAGAGCCGAGGAATTCGATTCACCGGCAGGTTCTTTAGGAGTCTCTGGTCTGACAGAGGCCACCGGGTCACCCTGTTTCCAAGCCAGTCTAGTGGTGGGGAGGGAAGGTGGCTGCAGCTCTAGCTCTGCGCCTCTCAGGGCCATGTCCTGGGTCTTGAGTTCTGGAAGGAGCAGTTGCTTCTGTCTCTTCCTAGACAGGTGGTGATACCTGAGGCGCTGGCAGGGCTGGGGTATGTGGTTCTAGGGGTTCTGGGTCCCAAGTGGATTAAGGAGTGGACCTGGTCCCCCTAAACAAAAAAGCTGGAAGCCTGGGACCCAGAACAGAATCTGTTCCTGTGGGTCTGCCCCACACCTGCAAAATCCTTACGCCACCTATCCACCCCACCCTGCCTGCCACTGACCCTGGCTCACCAGGAGCTCTGGGCTCCCTTCAGGCCCTCATCACGGCTGATTCTGGTCATTCAGGGGTGAGATCAGAGGTCTTTCCCATGAGGGGTCCCCCACCTCCCTGCCCACCTCGCCCCTCCTCCCTTTATAAATACCTCAGAGTTGTCTAGTTTTCCACCCACCCCATTAGAATCCATTTCACCCTTTCCCCTGGGTGTGCGTGGCACCTGGAGAGCATGACTCGATGGGTTGGGGTGGTGAGTGCTGGGAGTGACTTGGGCCTCCCTTCATATCCAGCGGCACCCCTAGCTGTTCCTGGAGGGACCTGAAGACCATGACCAATTTCTACCTGGTCCTGTTCTACATCACCCTGCTCGCGCTCTCCAGACAGGTATGGAGGCTGGCCCCCCCACCCAAGCTCTGCCTGCTTTTCCTCACCTCCATCTGGAGATGGGGTGGGGTGGGCTCGTGTGGAGCAGCAGCAAAGACCAGAGTCCTGCCAGGAAAGCACTGGTCCCCTGGCCAGAGGCTCCAAGGACACCAGGGACAGACAGACCCGGCTAGGAGATGCACAGCAGCATGGCCCCTGCTCGCCTGCGGACGGGGCACTTATGTTCGTGCCGTTTGCAGATTGACTATTACTGCCGCCTGGACTGTCTATGGAAGAAGAAGTTCAAGAAGGAGCACGAGGAGTTTGAGACCATGGAGAACGTGAACCGCCTTCTTCTGGAGAACGTCCTGCCAGCCCACGTGGCCGCCCACTTTATCGGTGACAAGTTAAACGAGGTGTGCTGAGAAGGGGCTGGGGCGGAGGCAGGGAGGCGGAGGGTCCAGGCGCAGTCCATAGGGTGAAGGTGTGGAGTTGGAGTGCACACCGAGCTTGGCTTCCTCAGGTCTTGGCCTCACCGGGATGCCCAGGCAACAATGTATGGGATCAGCTGTGAGAGAACAGGTCTGGGGTCAAGGACCTGGGCTCAAGTGTGGTTGTGGACAAGGCACCTTGCTTTCCTGGGCCTTGGTTTTCACCTCTGTAAAATGGGCTGACAGCACTTCCCCACAGGCTTGTGGCAAGGATGAAATGTGTTCAGCGATTTGTGATGTAGACATTCTGTGTTGATGAAAATGTCTGTACTTCTACCAGTTCTGTGTAGCAAGTTTTCTAGATAAGAAACGGAAGCCCAGTGAGAACGAAGACCTCCAACTGTTACCCTCCACTACTGCAGAGGTTCTTACCTCATGTGTACATGGAAACACCCATGGTGCTTCTGTGAGCAAAAAACCAACCTGAGCCTGACCCTCCCTGGCCACCCGATTCTTAATCACCTGGTAACAGCTGCCAGATGAACCTCATGCAGCCCACCTTCCTCCCAACCCCCCGAAAGCTGGGCTGGGCAGTTCAGTGCCATCTGCTCCTGAGGCCTTGCCACTCTTCCCATCCCCTCAAGAGGTGAAGTGGCGTAAGGTCCGGTTTCTTCCCATCCAGGACTGGTACCATCAGTCCTATGACTGCGTCTGTGTCATGTTTGCCTCCGTGCCGGACTTCAAAGTGTTCTACACAGAGTGCGATGTCAACAAAGAAGGGCTGGAGTGCCTGCGCCTGCTCAATGAGATCATTGCTGACTTCGACGAGGTACAGCCTCTAGCCCAGCCCTGTGCAGCAGTCCCAACCCATGCTGGGAAGGGAAGGGTGGCGGCACCTGCCATTCTAAAACCCAATTTAAAAATGTGACACAGGGCTGGGCAAGGTGGTCTATAATCCCAGCACTTTGGGAGGCTGAGGTGGGTGGAACACTTGAGGCCAGGACTTCGAGACCAGCCTGGCCAACATGGTGAAACGCTATCTCTACTGAAAATACAAAAAATTAGCTGGGCTTGATAGTGCACGTGCCTATAATCCCAGCTACTTGGGAGGCTGAGGCAGGAAAATCACTTGAACCCGGGAGGCAGAGGTTGCAGTGAGCTGGGATCACGCCACTCCACTCCAGCTTGGGCAACAGTTCACAACTCTGTCTCAAAAAAAAAAAGCACCATGGCCCCCTGGGGGGAATATACATTACACAGAATAGGAAGGTACACATTTCTTTTTCATTCTGTTTTATGCAGCAAATATTTCGTTGGCATCTTCTCTGTGACAGGCAGCTTGCTAAGATTAGACTCAGGCCCTTTAGAATAGCTTCATTTCCAACTAAGCCCACGCTACCAACCAAGCCGATTCAGAGGAAATCAGTTTGGGTTGAATTATTTGCTGGAGACAAAGAATCTACATTCCTGTGCAGATAATGCCGTGTTTGCTCTGTGCAGACACAGATGGAAGGGAAGAGGGAGACAGTGTGGGGACGGAGACGACAGGAAGAGCAGGAGCCGCCAAGGGCCATGTCCTCACCATGCTTAGTCATGCGCTCAGCTGGCAAGGCAGCGTGAGACGTGTGTACGAGAGGCGGCAATGGGTGGAGGGAACCCCACACCCTTCCTGAGGAGCGGGGGCAGCCTGGCTGTGGCTGTGGAGTGGCGGCTGCTTCACCGCTTCCTTCTCACCTGCAGCTCCTGCTGAAGCCCAAGTTCAGCGGCGTGGAGAAGATCAAGACCATCGGCAGCACATACATGGCGGCTGCAGGGCTCAGTGTCGCCTCAGGGCACGAGAACCAGGTACTCAAGCCCAAGAGGGGAAATTCAGCGGACTGCCCTCACTTAAAGGTGACCTGTCACCTTACCTAAAGGGTGTGTCCATATCCTGTCCTGGGGGAGGAGGAGGGGCCCAGGTGCTTGTAGGGCTCTGCCAGGATTTTAGTGGTGGGGATCCTCAACAAGAGTGGCGCGCCAGGCCCACTATGTCTGGGGGCTCTGGAGACGCAAGGCTCTGACCCACAGCCTGTCCCACAGGAGCTGGAGCGGCAGCACGCCCACATTGGCGTCATGGTGGAGTTCAGCATCGCCCTGATGAGCAAGCTGGATGGCATCAACAGGCACTCCTTCAACTCCTTCCGCCTCCGCGTCGGTGAGCCCGGGCGGTAGGGGCGTGGGGAGCCCCTGCCTCTAGGCCAGCCCACCCAGTCTGTGCAGCACAGCTGCACCTCGCCATCTATTATGAAAGGTTTGAGAATCCCTCTGATCTGACAAGCTCAGCAGTTGGACAACAATTATTCTGACGTTTTGCATAAGCATATAGTTAGCATATAGTTACCATTGAGAGTTTTAATAATGTGTAACTACAGAAAACGGAGAACCAAAATTATTGACTGTAAACAGGTAACCTTAAAATACAGAGAAGGAAGCAAAGTTACTAAACCTAAATAGTTGCGGGCCTGCACTCAAAGCCAGGCCTTTGTTAAAACGGAGAGTAGCAGATACAAGTGTTAACATCAAATCCAGACTTCTGGCTTCTGAATCTGAAAAAGAGCTGGCTGGGGAATGCCCTCCTCACACCCCAAGCCCGACTGCGTCATGGTGACTCTGAGAAACAAGCCAGCCTTCACTCTAGTTGTTTTGTCCCCGCATCCTGTACTAGGGTAGGGATTCTCTGGCCTCCCCTAAGGACAGAAGCCTGAGGCTTTGCCTGCATGCTTGGCTAACTGTAAACATCATCTTTAGGCATAAACCATGGGCCTGTGATTGCTGGAGTGATTGGGGCCCGAAAACCTCAGTATGACATCTGGGGAAACACAGTCAACGTGGCCAGCCGAATGGAGAGCACCGGAGAACTTGGGAAAATCCAGGTAAAGACCCATCGGGGAAGCAGGTAATTGAGGGGAAAGGATCTTCCCCAGAAGTGAGAGGACTTGGGCTTAAGAGCTGCTGTCTCAACCAGCAGCCATGGTTCTAGGGTTCTAGCTATCACGCTCTCCAGGGAAGGCAGACTGCGTGCCTGGGCAGTCTCTCTATCTGTCCCTACCATGACAGGTGTTCCTCCCGCCTCTGAAGACACAGGTCTTCTTCCTTTTCAGGTTACCGAGGAGACCTGCACCATCCTCCAGAGCCTCGGGTACTCTTGCGAATGCCGTGGCCTGATCAATGTCAAAGGCAAAGGCGAGTTGAGAACTTACTTTGTCTGTACGGACACTGCCAAGTTTCAGGGGCTGGGGCTGAACTGAGGGCTCCTGCTGGGTTCTGAAAAGGCTGGGAAGCCAATCTCCTTCCCTGAAGCAAGCCCAGGAGAAGACTCCACCCCACGCCAATCCCAGAGGCATGCAGAGGGTGTGGCCACCTCCTGGCAGATGGCTGTGCATGTTGGCTTCTTTGGACCCGCACTGAAGGATTTCTCAGACACATGCAGCACCAGATTCTGGCTCGAAGCAGCCACTGAGCCATTGTGCGCAGGGGAGGCCAGAACCTCTGTGCCCGGTCTGTAACAGTTTCCAGGCAAGCTGGAGAATGTTCACTGGTTCAGGGCTGACTTTGAGATCTTTGTTCCCTGAGGTGCTATGGAGGCGACTTTAGCACATGATGAAAACAGACGCCCATCTCAGTGGCCTGTGGGCATGCAAAAGTGAGGTCTGTTTTTCTAGACACCAAGGGGGAGTAAGCTGAGCTGTCTGGCACGGATTGGAGACTCCCTCTCCCTGGTGGGCCCAGCAATGAGAGTGTTTCTCACAGCCGCATTCTGGTAAATGAAGCTGAAAGGGGTGTTTTACATCTGTAAACGGTTTCAAACAGTAGAGAAAAACACCATAATTAGCACTGTTACTTTTTGCCTTGTCTGGTATGTTTGTTTTAAATGAATACATTAATGGGGGTTTTATCCTTTTGAATGACTTCTTAGCTAGTAGACAAAAATCTCTTCCTCCCAGTGTATGCTCTGCCTTTTTAACCACTGACACGTAGGGAGGACTACTGTCCAGTGTCAGCTTACGGGGTCAGCTGGCTGTGGGGGTAGAGTCCTGAGGAATGTGGTCACAGCAAGAAGGCAGGGAGCAGCGGAGCCTTGCCTTTGAAAAACGAGGCAGCTCGTGAGGCAAGCATTCTGGAGAGAGGTGCCTAGAAAGGTGCGGCCTTTCAGCTCTTCCTTGATCACTCACGCATCTTTGCGTTCTCCCCTGCCGTCCTTCAACTGTATCTTACTTTTCTTACTGGAAAGGAATGGAGTCTGTTTAGAGATAAGTTGGACAACCTGTGAGTGCGTCTCTCCTTTCCTTTAGTCTTCACAGCTAACTTTGGAGAGCTTCAAAACTACAAGGATGTACTTGGCATGGGTGCATGCACAGGCTCCTGGATCTGGGAAGCCCGCCCCCTCACAAATGCTGAGCCGTTCTTGCTCTGAAACTGCACGAGTCAAGGCAAATGCAAAAAGCCAGGTTTCGGGGATGTGTCTTACCTGTGCTTCAACTTTCCAAGGAACTGAGTCAACCTAACTGTAACAGGGTGAGAAATAACAAAACTGCCCGTGCCTTTTTCTGAAGGGACTTCATAACCAAAAGATGTAACCAGTGGCCTTATCACTAGAGCATCGCCAGGATTTCTAAAGTACTCAGTTTCCCTATATAGCAGGGATTCTTAGCTAGATGTCACCATGAACCCCGTGAAGTTCTACAGAAAGTCTTGCATACAGGAGCCTTTACAAGATTATACAGGGTTGCAGACTGGGTGACTGACTGGACTTGTTGGGGTCCTGGGATGAGTTGCCCCCTGGCTGCAAATTAGAGTACAACTAAGTGTGGGGGTGGCAGTGGAGGGGACGAAAATTGAGCCTGCCTGCCTGTGCTGTGTCATGTGTGGCTTTATCAGCCCGAGGAAGGGCAGGCGTATTCTAATTTGCACAAAGGTGCTGGGTGGACTAGTGACAACTCTGATGTGCTGCACATAACTGGAATCAGTGTGAATAGAAGAACTTGCTGTATAAAGGAATTTCATGGCAACAATGCTGGTAAGGGCAATTAGCCTCGCTTAAGTTGCCTTTTTTACACACCAACTTTTTACATGAAGGGTTGGTTTCACATGAATACTATACTGAAATCTGTGCTCGCAAGATCTAGCAGTGACCAGGGCTGCCCAGCGGGGGCTCTCCTGGGAAGTCAGGAAGGTTTCTGTTGCTAATATAACATGGAAACACATCAGTGCTCTGGGCCTCTCTGAGGTCAGCTTATTTGTACTCTTGCAATATTTAAGTTTTTTCTTCAGTAACAGAAACCCCAGTTGGGAGTTTAACAAATAACTGATTACCATTCATACATTTTTATTTCCTATTAAAGCACTGTGCTGTGCTCAGATAATAATAGTTTGTCAGTTTTTAGTTTTCAGTGTTCAGGTTACAGAATATAACTGACCATAAAAATTACCTGCAGGTATTTTCTTTTTATGAACCTGTTTTTAAATTACCAAATTATTTCTTTACTGGTTTCTGTTTTATGATAGAAATAAGTATCTAACAGTGACCACCTCTATGGGTCAAGGACTTCCTTACAATTTCTCCTAACTGGTGAAAATAATACCTGAAGTTTTCTGCCTTATTGAGGAAATTTCCGAACAGAAGAGAAGATCATTAACCACTGTATACTCTGTGTATATAATAGGTCAATGTAAAGAAACATGATTTGAGGTGGTGCATGCAAATAACTAGGGTTTATTCTATATAATGAGTATTTATAGATCTGTAACATTTGTTTCAAAATGCTGTTTCATTTTTATAAAGTACCAGTGTTTAGCTGCTTTTTATACATTAAATTAGCAATTTAAAAAACTCAAATATCTGAAGGTATTTTAAATTTAAGTATTTTCTTGGTCCTCAGGAACTCACTAGAGATTAAAAGTAGTCTCTAAAACAACTTGAAAATTTGACTCTTTTAGCATAAGATTTTGAGTCTTTTGGGGGAATTAATTTTCCTTTACCCTACTTGTTCTTCCTAAATACTAATTTTCAAAGTCAGGAAAATGGAAATCAAATGGCTTCCTGCCTGGGTGATTTATAGAAGGATTGTATAAGGGCCTTCAAACTTAATTTGTTCACTGAACAAGGCTATCTCCATCCTTTTTCCCTTATGTATAACAGGTTCTAGACAGATTCAGAAAAATCACCATTTATCTCAGCTTGCTGATAAAAGGGGGCCATGCATTTTGTGGTCTCCTACTTAAGAGTTCAACTGCTTGGGTACTTGACCTTTGTATTTCAGATAAACAGTAAACAGAAATGTCACCTTTTGGTAATCTGGTAACTACCTGATGTATTCAAGGATGACTTAGTTTATCTTATTTGGCTTATTACTTTGCTATAGTACTAGTAACACACTTTAAAAAATGGAAAAAAACAAAAAAACACTAGCCATGTGACCCTGCTATAAAACTCCCAGTGTGCTTTTGTCAGGGGTGGGTGGGAGATGCCTAATTACCTATACAAGGGCATCATTCCCATTGGGTATGCAGGGGCAGAACCACACTAGTAAATTGTAAAATTATTTCAAGTATGTTCGTATAATGGAAAATCTCACTGGATGGGGCCATTTTAAGAATATTTCTTAGTGATGGTCCTGTCTGTGGGACATAAGGAAGAAGCACGGGCAGGCACTATTTATTTTGAAAGAATGCTGTGCAGGTATGGCAACCGCCCGAAGCACGTTCCTTCCTCACAAGGGCTCCTTTCTGTATACATCACCAAGATGAGTCCCAGGTCCAGCTTTATTACCTAATACAAATCCAACCTCTGGAACATTCAAATTCACTGTTCCAAAGTTTAATTAAAAACACAATTTACAAATATTTAATATCTTCTGAAAAGCATTTCTAAGTTAAGAATGAAAAAGTATGTACATAATATATAATCAAATACCAGGCAGCCTCAACTTCCACCAGGTCCACACTCAGCAACATCCGTCTTTTTAGGTTCTTCAATATCTGAAAGAAAAAGACATCACTTAATTCAACATTGTTTTTACCTTTTAATTAAAAAGGGGACATGAAGGTCAAGCTGCCATCCAGAACTGTAACTGCGGAGAGCCATTCTTTACCACATCCAAGGTTGAACACTAGGTGCATTATCAGGCTATTATTGTGGCTCTTCTGCACACAGGAAATCGTTATTAATTCTTTAGACAAGATAAAAGGAAAACTAAGAATAGTTTTATACATTAAAAACAGACAAAACCTTTCAAGTGTTATTTGCAGGGAGAAGACTAATGTTCCTTTTATAGTTGGCCCTTCTTAGCCACGGGTTCCACGTCTGCAGATTCAACCAACTGCCAATCAAAAATACTTGGGGAAAAAATCCAATGAAAAAAATACAGTATATTAACTACATTCTATGAAGTATATTTAAAGTATACTGGAGGTTGTGCGTAAGGTATATGCAAATACATTTTATGTTAGGGACTTGAGCATCTACAGATTTTGGTATCCTTGTGGGGTAGATACCAAATCCGGGGTCCTGGAACCAATCTCGGGCAGACACTGAGGGATGACTGTAGTCACTACAGCTTTCCAATTTCCCAGAGAAAATAGAGCACGTACCTTCTGTCAAATCCACAAAGTTGTTTTCCATGACGGGGGAAGGAATGGAAATCCCCATTGCTTTTCGAACTCCATACGTGCTTACAATATCACCTGGAGTTACTTGCTGTGCAAGTTCTTTAAGATTATTGGTCACTTGTTCAGCTAACAAGAAAAACAAAGATAGTTCCAGATACTGAAACATGGTTCCTTTAGACAGAGGCATCCCAAAGAACAGTAAATGTACAAATGCAAAAAACAAAACAAAACAAAACAAAAACAAAACACAACTGTCCCTGGGATTCACATCAGCATTACTCTATAGTGCCATTACCACTGTACTCAGAAGTTTTTTCTTTGAAGCATCCCGTGACTCTCCTCTTATGGGAGGCAAAACATACCAAGATGCATTTCTCTGTATGAGGGACCCAAGAGACAGATCATGTTGGGAGGGGGTCTGGTGCTCAAACGTTCATTCTGGGCTTCCTGGAGTTCCCTGAGCAATCTGGTGGTCTCATCAAGTTTCTTCTGGAATATTTCAGCTTCTGTGTGGTAAGAAAAAGAACACACGGAAGAAAACAGACACACTTGTGTTTGATCTTGTGTAATAAACTGACTCCTAGGCTCTAGGGCTTTGCTAATTATTGGTTAGCCTTCTCCCTTCAAAAGAGTAATCCCCTTGAAATGAGATCAACATACTATACCCATTCATTTAACTTGGTAAGCCAAGATCTTCCTGTGGTGAATGGCTATATTAATCTGTACTTATGAGACATGAAATCTTGACTGCCTACATCATGCAGTTTTTCAATCAAACCCTCTGGAGACACTCACCTTCAGAGTCAAAAACTTCAACTGGAACGCCAAAATTTGTTACAGCTTTCAGCGCTATGAGCCTGTCTTGAGTACTGGAGTCCAAACGCCCTGGTGGCTCTACTTCTGTAATCTGCTTCAAAAGGAAAAACAGGCAATTACTGGAGTTTGCTAAGCCACAGCAGTGCTAACTAGAAATTACTAAGATGGTGTGTATTTACAGGCAAAGTTACTCTACCTATTTACTATGGAGTCCTAATTTTGATGCTTACAGAAAATGAATTTCCAGAACACCCTTTTAAAATGCTATTCCCAAATCTTGGCAAAAACAGGTATTCAATAAATCCACACTTCTGTGAAATGTAATGGTGTATCTCATACAATTTATATCATTTGTTTAGTATGGCAACTATTCTAAAGATGAAGTAATGAGAGCCTTATTGTTGCTTAAACTGTGAAGAGCTTTTGGTGATGACAATGCCTTGTGTTTTCGAGATTCAAAGACTATTTCAGTCCGTCTAGTCCATATACTTGAATTCCTATTGACACACTTCCTGGGTCTTCTCCAGGCCCCCATACTAGGCTGTCAGTATTGCATGAGAGAAACAAAATCTTAAAAAGGATAGAGTCAGCCCAGTGCAGTGGCTCACACCTGTAATCCTAGCACTTTGGGAGGCCGAGGTGGGAGGATCACCTGAGGTTAGGAGTTCGAAACCAGCCTGGCCAACATAGTGAAACCCTGTCTCCACTAAAAATAAAAAAATAAAAAAAAATTTAGCTGGGCATGGTGGCAGGCACCTGTAATCACAGCTACTCAGGAGGCTGAAGCAAGAGAACTGCTTAAACCCAGGAGGCAGAGGTTGCAGTGAGCCAAGATCGCGCCACTACACTCCAGCCTGGGCGACAGAGCGGGACTCCATCTCAAAGAAAAAAAAAAAAAGGTGGAGTTTTTATTTTCAGAATCGTTAAGACTCAGAGTTTCCATAACCTCAACATTGCTTTTTAGGAATAGATCAACCCAGATATTAAGCAATCAAAAGCGAATGGTTCCATTTATACTATGGTGTGGCTCTCCAACTCCAACTCCATTGATCCACCTGATTTCTCTGCCTACATATGGGCTAAAAACTTGTGGTGGAGAAACTGTATAATAGTGCAACTTGGCACTGATATGCATTTATGATTTGCCATTTCAGCTAGGCCCTCACAACTCTACTCACTAACCCTTTTACTTCTTACCCAATAGGCCTTCCCATTCTCAAGACTTCTCTTACTCCCCTTATTTTCCATTTAAATATTTCTCGTAAAGTGTAAAATAAAATCACCTCTATTTCTTTTGCTGTGTCAAGTGTCCTAGTATGGCCTTCATCTTCAGGCAATGACTGTAAGGATAAAGAAAAACAGCTTTTTAGGAAAACACATGAAGGCAAATATCAAGGAAAAGAGAAAACTGTCAGAAGTTTCTTGGCAAGAGAAAATGAATACAAATATGGACTACTACAATATAATTTTTCAGACCAAAATGACTAAATACAATTAATAGCATTTTGAGAGGATTCCGTGAGCTGGGGTACTTATTACTGGTGATGTTATTTCCATGCCTGATCAAAAGCTACATACATATTTAAGAAGGTATTTGGTAAATAACTTATAAATACGTAAATAAACGGTATGTGTTTATTAGAAAAATCCCTGACAAGAAGACAGGAAGGAGTTCTAGGGATTACTGTTCATGAACAGAGCAATATTCTCAGATAGCAGAGGATTACTGAAAAATAATCAAATGCTACAGAGAATGTGAAAGCTTCTCAATCTTGTTCTGCACAGATAATGCACCCAGGAACAAGAGACAGATGTATCATGGACATCAATCAATGATGTCATCTTTCTTTGAAAGGTTCTGTTGTCAGTTATTTAACCAATTCCCAATTTCTAAAAATTATGAACAATGTATCCTTATATGTAACTTTTGTATTTTTTCTAGAATAAATTCTGAGAAGAACTGCTATACTGAAGGACAGAGACACTTGACATTTTGAAACACATTGCCATATTCACCAAATGAAAAATATTCAATTTTTGTTAGATTATTAATTCATTCAGATTAATTGATGAGAAGGATATGGTAAAAAAATGTGTATTTTTAATTGATGTAAAGTTTCATTTTTTAGGTTGTGTGATGAAAGCGGTCTGAGTGCGGATATTTTACAGCAGTCATCGTTGAGCCTGACTGAGGCACTGAGCTCAGCTCTGCTGACAGGTCACCCAGCAACCATATGTGCGGTTGTGAGCAGGGTACCAGGCACTACAGTCGCAGTCACCATTAAGAGTTAGATCTCCAAGAGACACAGGGTTTCTGTAACTATTGTGACAGGAACATTGTGGAGATCAGCTCTCTTCTATATCAGCAGGCACATTTTCTGGTTCTAATCCTTGAGCCACAACTCTGAATGATTCCAGATTACGAACTATCTGCAACTGCACTAGAGATAGCTTACAAGTGTTAATAAAATAGCAATGAGGAAGCTTTTTACTTTTTAACTTGAGGTTCCTCCCGATGTGCTATTACTGCATAAGGAAAAGCCATTCCCTATCATTTTAGCCAACTGAGTTTCAGGCCAGTGAGCAAAACTTTGCTTTTTTGTTAGAGGACACAACACCGACTTCTGAGTTGTAAACCCCATTTCTGAGTCCTACATTCCCAAGATGAGATAAGGATAATGCTCGGGCCCTCACAGATCCTGGTAGCTAAGCTACTCCTTT